GCAGTTTAATCTTTAAATGTCATTCTAACGAACAGAATGGAGAGCAACGTGGCTTTGAAAAGGATCACTGAGAGTCTTTCTCTAAAATAAATCCTAGCTTACTCCTGGAGTCTCCTTGACTCTTAAACCTAGAGACTCTCTCTCCAACTCCTTCAAACCTCGAGACGGCCTCTGCTGCTTCAAGGAGAGGCTGACCTCTTCTGGCAAGGACCACAGTTCCTGGCAGCCAAGACATGAGCCAGACATGGCGCTGCCAGGACATAGGAACCTCCCCCGACAAAATAAAGCGGAGGACACGGAACGAGAGACTGGATGAATGCTGCCCCTTCACATCCTGACAATGACCACAGCAGATTTGATTTTAAGAAAGGAGAATGAAAAAAAGAAAGAAAGGAGAATGATCACATTTTTATGACTAAGAGGAGTGGTTTAGGAAACAAAGTCTAAGTAAACTAGCTTGAACTCTTTCATTCTTTCAACAACTATGAGTGCCGACTTTGTGCCAAGCCTATTCTAGGCCCCAGGGAAATGGCAATAAAGAAGACAAATCCACAGTCTTTATGAAGCTTACCTTCCAGGCCAAACAACAACAGCAGCAACAAAAAGTGAACACTTATGCAAGGGAGGAGGGATAGGGCCTGGGTCAGAGCCCTCCTGTAGAGAAAGCAAACCAAGGAGAGAGTGGACAAGAGCAAAGCAAGGGCCAGGCCGGGAAGGACTTCGTCAGGCCTGCTTTAAAGAGTGCGCTGGCCTTTATTCCAAGCGAAAGTAGGGATCATCAGAGAGTTTTTAACCTGGGTAACAGGATCTGAGATATTTTTCAAAGATGACTCTTGTCTGCTACATGGAGAATGGACGAAATTAGAAGCAGGGACACCAGTTAAGGAGATGTTACAAAAGCCTAGGCCAGAGCCAACCAAAGCTTGAGCTAGTTTGGCAGAGGTTTTGATGATAAACTAAGCAGTTAGACAAAAAAAGAGCTACCGAATTTATTTAAAAAGAGGACAACAGTTCCACTTTCTTAATTAATTTGACCAGAAGACCAATATATCTCAGTTTAATCTAAAACAAGACCACTAAAACTAAGACTATCCTGTGTACTTTTTATGTAGATACATGATTTGGATAAAAGGTTAATAAGGCTCATTCCTCATACTATAATAAGAACATCTGTTAAGCATACTAACGCAAATCTAGCTAAATGCAAATTCTGGCCAATGAAATTGATTATGAAAAGTCATAACCTGAAAAACTAAGCTTTGTGTGGTTGCATTTTTAAAGGTTGTTTAAAGAATGGTATTTGACTTTTAATTTGGCCTGAACAGTATTCAATATGCTCAATAATTAAGGTAAAGAAGATACTTAAAAATACTTTGGCTTTCTTTGCAAATAAACACTTTAATATTTATAGACAGCCTAGCTTTTCTGATCTAAGCAGTCAATAGGCATTAAGCAACTAGTTAATGTTAAAACCTTGTTGGCTCAGAATGCAAATTCTGGATGGGCCAAGAAAAGATTCATTTCACCTCCAGAGTATAGTACTGGTTAAGCCAACGGAATGCTGAAACCACTCACAAGTATTTGGGAGCCTCAGTGAATGACACTGCTGCTGTGTGCAGGGACTGACACTAATGGCAATAAAATGTACTCAAGTGATAGAGAAACAATAACCAGAGCGACAATGTTCCTTTTTCTTTTCCTATTTCCCTTAGTTAACCATCTTAAATACAATACTTTGGCCACCTGATGCGAAGAACTGACTCACTGGTAAAGACCCTGATGCTGGGTAAGATTGAAGGCAGGAGAAGGGGACAACAGAGGATGAGATGGCTGGACGGAATCACTGACTCAATGGACATGAGTTTGAGCAAACTTTGGAAGCTGGTGATGGACTGGGAAGCCTGGACTGCTATAGTCCATGGGGTCACAAAGAGTTGGACACAACTGAGCGACTGAACTGAACCATCTTAAAAATACAACAGAATTATTATTTCTGATAAATCTGTGTATCGGACCAGTATTAAAACAGTCCTGGGACTTCCCTGGTGGTCCAGTGGCTAAGACACCATGCTTCCAATGCAGGGAGCATGGGTTTGATCCCTGATCGGAGAACTAAGATCCCACATGCTGCACAGAGGGGCCAAAAAACAAAACAGTCTTGGTCACTCTGTTTATCTAGCATTTACAGCTAGGTTAAGCAGCTGTCAAGATACATTAAATCTCAAAAAGTAATGTTTCAATAATTTCCCCCCAGAATACAAGCCTTTAATGTAACTAACTAAAATTACGTATTTCCAATAAGTATAACTCTTTCTAGTATTCTTAAATGTGGGAAAAAATCATGTATATATGGTATCTGGCCTAAAGCTTTTGGTACCATTCTCTTTAAGAAAAATGTCTTCCTCAGAAATGAAGGCTTTATTCTTGCCTGGGAAATCCCATGGATAGAGGAGCCTGGCGGGTTACAGCCCATGGGGTTGCAAAAGTCCGACACAACTTAGCAACTAAACCACTGCCATAAATAATACTGTCAACATCTTAAATGTCCTAAGGCTGACTATGTATCTTACATATGTATAGCATTTCCATTTAGATACTTTACAGACTAAGGATTACATGTAATTGCTAATTCAATACTAAAACCAAAAGAGAGAATTTCTGCTTTAAAAAAAAAATTGTCTTTCAAGCAGCAGTTTTTTTCAGCCCATCATCTACTCACTACTTTCCCTCAGTTCAGTTCAGTTCAGTCGCTCAGTCGTGTCCGAATCTTTGCGACCCCATGAATCGCAGCATGCCAGGCCTCCTTGTCCATCACAAGTTTACTCATACTCATGCCCATCGAGTCAGTGATTCCATCCAGCCATCTCATCCTCTGTCGTCCCCTCCTCCTCCTGCCCCCAATCCCTCCCAGCATCAGGGTCTTTTCCAATGACTCAACTCTTCGCATGAGGTGGCCAAAGTATTGGAGCTTCAGCTTCAGCATCAATCCTTCCAATGAACACTCAGGACTGATCTCCTTTACGATGGACTGGCTGGATCTCCTTGCAGTCCAAGGGACTTTCAAGAGTGTTCTCCAACACCACAGTTCAAAAGCATCAATTCTTCGGCGCTGAGCTTTCTTCACAGTCCAGCTCTCACATCCATACATGACCACTGGAAAAACTATAGCCTTGACTAGACAGACCTTTGTTGGCAAAGTAATGTCTCTGCTTTTTAATGTGCTGTCTAGGTTGGTCGTAACTTTCCTTCCAAGGAATAAGCGTCTTTTAATTTCATGGATGCAATCACCATCTGCAGTGATTCTGGAGCCCAGAAAAATAAAGTCTGACACTGTTTCCACTGTTTCCCCATCTATTTCCCATGAAGTGATGGGACCAGATGCCATGATCTTAGTTTTCTGAATGTTGAGCTTTAAGCCAACTTTTTCACTCTCCCTACCGTACTCCAAATGCATCAACATGAATCATCTTCCTGAACTTTGTCAAGGAAGTCCATGCAAAACACAGACTGAGATACATATGTGGTTTAAATTAAAACTAAAATTCACAGCTGCAAACCAAAAAGTAAACCGTGCCTGGCTAAGCTTACTTCTAAATTTTGATTCTAAAGGAAAATTTCTATTGATTCAATAGCAGGTGAACAAGGATTTCAATGAACAGCAAAGAACACTACAGAAAAGAGTAAAAAGTATGTTAGTTTTCTTCCTTGGAGAGCATCACAGTGACCTGGAGGAGCTAGTCTAGAATGGAACGGGAGCTTAGAAAAGAAAGCTTCAAAGCAAGCAGTGGTAGAGCCTTAACTTGTTTTTTCACTGTTGTGTCTGACTCTCTGTGATCCCATGGACTATAGCCTGCTAGGCTCCTCTGTCCATGGGCTTTCCCAGGCAAGAATACTGGAGTGGGTTGCCATTTCCTTCTCCAAGGGATCTTTCTGACCTAGGGATTGAACCCGTGTCTCCTACTTGGCAGGTGGATTCTTTACCACTGAGACACCTGGGAAAACCAGAGCATTACCACATGTACTTCAAAACAAACAATCCAGTCCTCCCCAGCCCTCTTTCTTATTTGAGTCCTACCAATTGAGTCATGTACTTTGCATAACAGATATCAAGCAGTCCCTGCTGTTCTGTTCCCAAGTCAGTGAACAGACATGCTTCCTTTACTAAATCTTCAAAAGTGAAATCTATGAATCCCAGGGTTGGGGGTGGGGGCAGGGTGTCACATGTATGTTGGTCTATTTGGGTCTCACGTGTGCCCGATATTTTAAAATTAACTACCAAGTTTGATTCTATTGTATTCTATTACAATGTTTTAAAAGATGAGGGCAACTAGACTTCAGGGTTACAATAATTCTCTCAACAGACGGACCCTCCTCAGATAAGCATTCATTGAACACTTGCATAACTTGAACTTGAGAGTACGTTTTTGAGGAAAATACCCAGTGATTCCAATGCAAAGAGCAAAGATCGTTTTAAAAAATGTTCTGCGTCTTACAATGTCTAGAAGGAGGGAGTCCGCGAGCGCAAAATCAGGCAGAGACACCTGACCTTGCCCACAAGTCGCCCAGTCCTGCAGCCCTCCCCCTGGCTTCCCTGGGAGAGGCGGTTCACGCCATTCCAACTGGCCGCCGGTCTGCCTGCCTGTTCCAGCACCTGCCTGGCGGGGACAGGGGAATCTCCACGGAAGACGAGAGGGCTTGAGAGGAGGCGGCCTCGGAAACCGGGAGGCCGGGAGGAAACGATTCCAAATGGGAAAGGAGGCGAGGTCCTTCGGATGAAGAAGGCCGGGCCGTCAGGGGCTAATGGAGACGCGGCTGGGGGGTGGAACACGACGGGGGGACCAGGGAGAGAGGTCTCAGGAGGGCCCGGGAGAGGCGGGAGGTCGAGGGCCGCAGCCGAAAGAGAAGAGCCGAGGAGCTGGGAGGCCCGGGGGCGCGGAAGGGCAGCGGGGCGGCAAGGGTTGCGGCGGCCGCGGCCAGCACCCCGGCGCGCGCGGACTCACGTTCTCCCACCAGCAGGATCCGCACGTCTTTCTTCATGTCGGCGGCTCGCTGGGGCCGGCCTCGGCCCGCAGGCATGAAGCGGACTCCTCTCGCCGCGAGCGCCCAGCCCGCCGCGCCGCTCTCCCCGCGCCGCCGGCGCCGCCTGCCAGCCTCCCCCCGCCGCCCCTCCCGAGCCTCAGCCGCCCGGGCCCGCCGCGCCGCCTCCTCAGCAGCTTCCCCACTCGAGAGCCGGGAAGGCGCCGGCTCCGCCTCCTCCGGCTCCGCCGCGGCGGCGGGGAGGACGGGGCGCCGCGAGGGACAAGCGGTTTCGAAACGCGGACGCTCTCCGTCCTGCCACGCGCCCCAGCTGTGCAGTGCGCAGCAGCGCATCGCCCGGGAGTCTCACCCACCCTTCTCGGGGAACACTGGCCAGGATAAGCTTTGGACCCAGAATCTGAGTGGCAGAGTCGCTAGTCTTGACCCCATTTCTTTTACAAAACAGAAGCGAGAGAAGTTCCTCGCTCAAGGTCAGATAGCTAGAACTTGGCAGTGTGACTCGGGCCGGGAATATTCTCACCAGAAGGACTATAAGCTCCAGGTGAGCAGCGACGTGTCCACCTAGTTTTCAGCAGTTCCCCCACCTTACTGGCCAAAGCCCTCAGAAAGTGCTTGATTGACTCCTAGGATCGAGCCCTTTCCACTACCCGAAGTCCACCATCATAGCTGCTTTTTACCTGGGATGCTTATAAAATATGATTCTAAATAATGAGGTTAGTTTCTATGGTTTCAGTGTAAACAGCTTCATTTCTTTGTAACCAAACTAAATGTTTTTCCTCTCTGTGTATGGTTTACTTTCGGCAGGGTCTTCTGATACTTTTGTTTACATAAGTTTGCCCAGCACCTTACTGGGCATGTAGGTGGCACTGAATAATAAACTCATTGATATGTCTAACATTGCCTTAATTTCTTCCTGACTTTCTCCATCCGGAGGAATTCGTTGCTATATGTCTAATGCTTGAACAGAGCTTAGAATACAGTGGGAGATGATAGATAGAAAGGTATCTAGAATAAATGAAGGAACACTAAGCATAATATTCCTTTTTTTCCTATGTTAAATATTACAAAATGATTTTTTTATTTTTTTGGCCGTGGTATGCTGGCATGCAGGATCCTAATTCCTGGATCAGTGATCAAACCCATGCCCCCTACAGTGGAAGAGTGGAATCTTAACCACTGGACTGCCAGGGAAGTCCCTGAAAATGAATTTTTTAAAGGAAATGACATGTACATTATACCAACCCTCTTTTCTCCTAAGAAAAGCCTTGTGGTCTGGTGCAGCAGTTAAGACCATGCTGGCAAACTGCATGGGTGTATCCAGAGCCCATCACCTGGTAGTTATGTGATCTTGAGTAAGGCTGTTACTTCTCCAAGACTGCCACTTCTTCTGTAACATGTCAATAATGATAATAGTACATACCTCCTTGGATGGTTGTAAAGAATAAAGATAATATATGTCAAGCATTTGCCAGACTCACGTTACTTGGTCTGTAATCTCAGAGGTCATTACTGTCATAAACTCACTGAAAATTTGAAATCCGTAGATTTTGAGGCAAATTCATTGTTATGTTTACAACAGTATTTCACTGTCTTATTTATATGATAGCCCTAAGGAGCATAGGGGTGGGAGCCCTTCCAAAAATCACCCTGTGATATAAGGAGGAAGACAGGAAAGACACACTCTCTGCTCACTGGGAAGTAATAAGTCATATTCCAGGATGGAGGCAAATAAGATGAACTTCACAAGGCTTGATGGCCTGCTCTTTCAGAGGAAAATATTCCTCAGAATTTTTAGTATAGTAAGCCCTCTACATATGAACCTTCAAGTTGGGAACTTTCAAAGATTCGAACAAGTGTTGACACTGAAGAGAATCCCAACGCAGTAAATGGCAGGGGGGATTTTTCTTTATTTAAGAAGGCAGTTAGTTTTTGAGTCACTGGACCCAAATGTAGAACAGTACACAAAGGTTACAATACCCGTTCAGAATGCAATCCAGTGCTACCGTGTCATCTAGGATGAAAAAAAAAAAAGACCTACTACCCAGACATCACTGGATTGTTTTTTTTCAAGAGAGTACATGGAATTCCATCCAGCAAGGAACCAAAACTTGTGCCATTCAGGTCAGGCGGGAGTGAAATTGCAGCTTGCCCTCCATCTCCTGTTGCTGACGGTCCTTCAGCTCTACCATCTCCCTCTCCTCTCCCTGCTCCAGGTTAACTCATCTTGCCTATTCACTGGCAAGGACTAATGGTTTGGTATTAAAAAAAAATAGTAACATTCCCTAATTAGTGGGAGTGGGGAGCCTGACAAGCCAGAGTGTGCCCCCCAAGCAATGTAAGTTTCCTTATTACCATCCCTTCCCATCTCCCAATCAGCTATACTTCTGAAGCTTTGGCCTCCTGCCCTGCCTTGAGCTTTATGCCCTTCTCCTATGTTAACAGATATCCATCAGAGGCCACTCTGAAGTTCTCTTGCAAACAGCATAGCTCAGTGATTAAAATCAGGGACTCTGGAATCTGCCTGCCTAAGTCTGAACCTCAGCTTTACCAATTCCTAGCTGTGCATTGTCAGGCAAATTGCTTAAGCTTCTCTAAGCCTCATCTGCCAGATGGAAATAACACTTCATGAGATTGTTACAAAGATTAAATGAATGAATATAATAGGAACATGCTTCAAAGAATGTCTGGAACATGGTCTGTATTATACACAAATGCTGAATAAATAAAATAACTCGTGGGAGAAGAGACTTCTGAACAACTTTCTGAGCCTGAGGACTGAGCCACACCATGACCCACACTGCAGCAAAACAGAAGTCAGAGAATGGAGTTGTTGGCAGTGGAATTTACAGTTGGGATATTATAGATTGATGACTGGGTATTAAGTAGATTGGATAAAGCCAAGAGGACAGATTGGTATCTAGAGCACTGGTGGAATTTTCCTCTGGAATGCTGGGAAGCAGTTCTGCCTTCACAAGACAAACTTCATGGCTCCTCAACTGTGAAGGGGACACTGGAAAGTCTGAACTAAGTACTTTCCCCAAGAGATGAGGCTCCATCTTTCATACCTATCAAAGAAGGAACTTGCAACATAGCCTCTGTCTGAGATTCAGGACAGTGGAACGCCCCAGGGCTACTGGGCAGGTCTGTTGGGTAGAAGATACAGTGTGTGTTAAATGACCAACACTGGGTAGGATGAGAGGCTGGTCTCTGATGGTTGAGTTAGACACAGTTCTGGGCAGGAAGCCAGATAAGATGGGTTGGCATTGGTCCCACTCTTCAGATCCATCTATCTTTGGTCTCTCAAATTAAACCCGAAGTGGCATCCATTTTCACTCTTGTCTTCTGTTTCTTCCAGGAAGACTTCCTCTTTTCCTGCCAAGTTGCTCTGGCAGAGCAGAAAAGTCTAATGACTCGATAACAGAGTAAATCTTTTATCATACCTTTGAATGCACTTGTTCTTGACTCACTGGTCAAACATCCATGCCCTCTGCATAGTCACATGGATTGGTCTCCAGAGGACGTGGATTCTATTTCTTTAATTTGGCCAGGAGAGATATCATTCAGCACCATTTAAAAAGGTATTTGATTATAATTAACCATACTAAGGGGACATTTTTCCAGACAAGAACCTCATCTGGTGATGAGGTTGCATCCAGTTTTCTCTTGAATTTTCTCAAGCTTTCAGATAATATTGTAAAAACACTTTTGATTAAGAGATAATTGATATTGAGAAGGCTCTCAGACCTTCTTGCCCCTAGGTGGCCTGAATTCCCTCATGTCCAGGTTAAGAGCATGAGCTCTGGAGTCTACATTTCATCTCCAGTACTTGGTTACCTGTGCAATATTAGACAAGCTACATAACTGCTCTGAAAAACCCCATCAGCAAAATTAGTTCATAGAGCTCTTTGAGAATTAAATAAAATAATGCAATAAAACATTTATCACATTACTTAACATATGGAGCATGTTCATATATCATCCTTAACAACTGCATTTTTAAATATTTACTTATTTTTTTAGAGTACATGGATTTTTAAAATAATTTTACTTATTTATTTATTTTTGGCTGTGCTGGGGGTGTGTTGATGCTCAGGCTTTTCTCTAGTTGCAAATTTTCATTGCATTGTGAAGGCTTCTTACTGCAGTGGCTTTTCTTCTTCTTCTTTTTTTTTTTTAGTGGCTTTTCTGTTTCCAGAGCACAGGCTTGAGGGCATGCGAGTATGTGGGCTCAATGGTTGAGGTTCCTGGGCTCTAGGGCACAAGGCCTAGCAGTTGTGGTGCTCAGGCTGAGTTGCTCTGCTGCCTGTGGGATCTTCCCGGACCAGGGATTGAACCCATGTCTCCTGCATTGGCAGGCGGATTCTTTACCACTAAGCCACCAAGGAAGCCCACCAACTGCATTTTTAAATTTGAGATTCATTTGCTGATTTGCCTTATCTTTCCAAGGGCAAATTGATTAGCCTGCCTGCCCAAATTGTAAACTCTGAATGACAAAAATGCATTTACTATAATTTTTAATTACTGCAGAGACATTAAAATTTGTGCTGACTTGTTATCTATGCCAACCAGTGATTCTCAAAAAAAAATTTAGGCCACAAGCCATTTCCACAGAACAAAAAATTCTGTACAATAGTAAAATTATAATTTGCTTATATCTGCAAAGAAATTACCACAAGTAAATACGTTCCAAGCAAATAATCTAAAAGAAGAAATATATATCTACATAGTATTCATGCATGCTAAGTCACTTCAGTCATGTCCGACTCTGAGGTCCTCTGTGGGATTCTCCAGGCAAGAATATTGAACTGGGTTGCCATTTCCTCCTCCAGGTGATTTTTCCGACGCAGGGATTGAACCCCCATCTCTTGCATCTCCTGCATTGGCAGGCAGATTCTTTACCACTGCGCCACCTGGGAAGTCATTGTTTGGCATGTGTGTATGTCTGAGTCTTTGCGACCCCATGGACTGTAGCCTCCAGGATCTTCCGTCCATGGGATACT